ATTTAGGCAATTTTCATCGACTCATAGCTTGGAAAATAGCACGGTGACCCATAATTTTTAATATATTTTTGAAAAAAGCATAGTAAAATCTTCATTTTGGCAAAGTATAAGAAAATTCTATCTCAAGAAATATATACCTATGATCTACCTTAATTATATGGCGTCAAGACTAAAATACACACGAAATGAAGCTACATATTATCTAGCCCATGCCCTGTAAATTGTTTATTTTAGACTTTTTTATAATTTGGATAAATGTTTTGCATGGTTATAAATCAAATATAAGAATTTGAGTCAAATTGGTGAACATGAATTTGACAGCTAGTGCCCCTTTAACAAATACAAATGTTATTTAAGGGTCTATATATAAAAATATTTGTTGATTTATACAAATTGGCTTGTAGATTAAAACAAAGTGTTCATAGATGTAACAAACGAAATAAATGTCGATGCAAAATTACAAAATGTTCATGTTAATTGAATTTTGAATTTCCTAACATCTTGCAAACCATAACATATGGATAAAATAATTATCTACTAACTTTCTTTTTACCCGTCAATTATCAAATTACTATTTACAAGAATTATTGCCCCTGAAATAAAGAATAAATGTTTCAAAAAGGTTATAAATTCATTCATAGAAGACTTTGGGGAGCATTTTTATCCTGTTTTGAGTGTATTCCGCTTTTCAAAGATTCAGTCTGTGGTTTAAATTTTTTGTTAGACATCAATAAACTTGTCAAGCCTTCACAGAATATTATGAAACTTGGATAGGAGCTTTTGTTTGGTCAAAAGACCTTTCGACATCAAATTATTTTTTCACCTTTTCCTAATTTTTCTGGATAAAAGGACATTTTTTTGGCAGTTAACTTTAAGAAATTAAAAATGAATTAAAACAACAACAAAAAATTAATAGAATATAGAAAACTTTGTTAGAATTTTTTTGGAAATAAGCTTCATGAAAAAGAAATAGCACCTGAAGAATTTTTTTTATAAAAAAAATCAATTGACTAAACTTTTAACTGTAATATTGATTGCCAAAATTAACAGCAAGACCCAGGGTTTCTGGAAATTTTACATTTTTATTCATTATAAGCATCCTGCATATTAACAGCTACAAATTCGTAGAAATATTAATTTATATACAGGTGGAATGATTGATTTCTTCAAAGTGAAGACTTGTTTGATAATCATAACCCGTAATTGGAAAGATAAAATAATATTTGTTTTAACTATATTCCAGATATAAAATAGGTGGTAGAAACATTGTCAAGTGATTGGAGCAAATTAAAGATGCTACAGTCCTTGGATGGTGTAAGCTTCCCACTAACACCATACACCATTACACCATTCACCATACACTATTACACCATACACCCTGTGCCATTTCACCATACACGTGACACCTTTGCACCATACACCTTACACATTACACCATAATGCAATTTAATTTCAAAGAAAGCGTGCGACTACAAAATTATTTATTTATTTTAAAAAACGAATTTTGATCGCAATATTGTAAATAAATGTATAAAATTAAAAATCAGTTCTGATCAATATTTTGCATAGTTTTAAATGTCGTACACCATTCATTCACACCATTCACGATCGCACGTTACACTATTACACCATTCCCTTTACACCATACACCATAGCACCATACACCTTCTACCATTGCACCATATGCCATACACCATTACACCATACACGTTTTTTTGGAAGTTTACACCATCCAAGGGCTGTATATATGCTTTCCAAAAGAACAAAAAAAATATTTTTTTTCCACCCACTATGCATGGCTAGGTAAACTAAATTTTTGACAGAACAAGTTTAAATGCACTTATTGCCTAAATAAATATAAAAACTTAAGATGTAAAACAAGAACTTTATCAGATGAGCAGGTTTTCTGAAGTATGCACATACATTCAGTCCAATAAAAATGTCAACATGATCTAAATTCTTGTATGAAAAAGCAAAACAATTGAGAAGTGTTTGCCTATAAAATTAATGATAAAGATGAGATGTTAGCTCATCAGATTGGATAGAATTCTACTTTTTCTATCATATAGCCAATTCTTGATACATCATCGATATGTCCATGTTGTTTATGATTGCATTTAAATTTATTTTCAAAATGGCAGCCAAAATAAATATATGCATGTACACATCCTAAATTAATTCCTGGTGTCAAAATTTACAGAAAATAATTTCCAATAGATATGTTTAGCTTTGCTTGCATGTTTGCATCATAATTGTTGATTTATTTCTGTGACTCTTGATGTTTTGCAATCAGTGGTTATACTGACAAGTTTGTATTCAAGAGGTTTTGTTTTCCCTAAAAAAGATAATTTATTAAAGTAACAAATCTTTTTTAAATGTCAAATCACGTTAATATATTTTTAATGAAGAGGTGCAACTGGATGTACCCCTTAACAAAAAATAACAAACTGTAAATGGCGGGTATGGGTCAATCAGACAGATCATCTACATGAACTAATTTTCATTGTGTAGAAAAAATACAAAACATCAAAAATATTGAAGAAAATTATCATAATGATAAAGTTTTGCTCCCTGAAGTAATCTAATACATTGATAACATTTGAAAGCTTCTTAACTATTAAATAAAAAGAAATGATCAGTTTATTATTTCATTTTCTGTACTACAGATGATTTATTTATATCCAGTTATTAATTGATATCAATAAATTGTTAAATTTTGAAACTGTTTTCTGTTGTTATTTATTTACAATGTTTTATATAGATGAAGTAGAAAAAATGTCCAACAATGAATACATATTTCAACATCAGACCAGCTGCTAATTACCATGCAAAGACAAGTTGAGAGTACAACAGTAGTGTATTTTGTGATTTTAACATCAAATTTATAGTTGTGGTCGGTCAGAGATTCCTGCTCTCTTGGCACTATCATGCATCAGCAGAACATGGGCATGCATGGATAGTCTTTTTATATTTCTATACTCATATCTTTAATTTGTATACATCTTTTCATATGGAAAGTTTATATGAATCTCATAAGATCTACAGTTTTCAGCATCTTATCCGAAGTACATTACATATGTTTCTCGTCAAATGCAGTTAATGTACATTTTTTGTGCATATAAACATTTCTCTAATTCTTACTCGATTTATGCTTTTCCCGACCTGTTGATTATTTGTATTTAATCGACGTGTGGTTCGATTGATTTCATTTCTTCATTGTTCAAAATTCGTTTATGATGTCAAACTTTCTTGCTTTCCTCTAAAATTCTTATTGTGATGCATGAAAAAATGCGACCATTCCTAGTGACGTCGTGTACAAAAATACATCTTTTTGCATGTCGTTCGAAAAGAAGGATTAAGATTGTCTGCATATATTTATAGATTATCGTTGGTCATCTCAACGAGATTGATTTTCTCGCTTGAGCCGGACGGCGAAAGTGAGAAAAGAAATCGAGTTGAGATGACCAATGATACTCTGTTTATCGCTATTTCACCTATGACGACGTTGTTAATTTCATTGACAACTGCACGTGCTCCCTTAGTTTCTAGCGATAATTTTTCATATCACTCGACTGTGCTGAGAATGGAAATTATCAGTCAGTAAGATCAAAGGAAAATTTCGTAAAATAGCGATAAATGAAAATTATTAGAGAAACAGATTCCACCACCAAATATTGTGCCAAATGATATTTATCCACTTTCAATAGTTAAATTTTAAAACATTTAAAACGATCTGCGAGCTGAAAATTTAACTGTCTCGAGTGGATAGATAGTGTATCACACAAGATGCAGTGGTAGAATCTATATATATAGCTTATAGATATAAGAAGATGTGGTATGAGTGCCAATGAGACAACTCTCCATCCAAGTCAAAATTTATAAAAGTAAACCATTATAGGTCAAAGTACGGTCTTCAACACGGAGCCTTAGCTCACACCGAACAGCAAGCTATAAAGGGCCCCAAAAATGACTAGTGTAAAACCATTCAAACGGGAAAACCAACGGTCTAATCTATATAAGAAAAGAAACGAGAAACACTTATGAACCACATCAACAAACGACAACTACTGAATATCAGATTCCTGACTTAGGACAGGTGCAAACAATTTCAGCGGGTTTAAACGTTTTAATGGTACCAAACCTTCACCCTTATCTGAAACAATAGCTTAACATCACAACATAGAAAGACACACTATAAAATATCAATTAAAATGGCTTAACTCAATCAAAAGACATATTAATACCAGTGAACATACACTGAACAAATAAATTTGATCTACGCTACAATGTAAATACAAAATAAATAAACTAAGGGAAGAATAATTAAAGAAACATGTAATACCGCTGTGAAATGTTAAACAATTTAAGAAAAACAATATGCTAGAACAAAAATATCAGCCATTTGCAATTACTTTAAACACAGGTAAATGAAAATAATTTTGTTGTTAGGTATACGTGTACAGTTCAAATGGAGAAAGGAAATATTTTACAAAATAAATAATTTTGACGTTCATAGTACGAAGTGAAAATTTATAGTAATACCAAACACTTATCAAAGCTGGTATATAGACCAGATATAACCCTGAATAACATTAAATAACAGATGCCAGATTTTGTATAGATTATACACGGCAAAGCACTTTTGGCGTGAAAGGAAAGAAAACTAAACGATAGGATTTAATAAAAAGAAAAGTCTTCACGATTTCCGGACTTAACTCCTAACTGCATAAAAAACTATGTAAATTTACTGTACATTCCTTTAAAGAAATATATTTTCTGAGTTATCTCACCTGACATAATTTTCTAAACGTTGAATCAATGAATCAAGAAGATATATTGATTTGGAAAAATCATAATTCTTACAAATAAATTTCATGTCTGCATCATATTTTTGCTCATTTCAATAAAAATGTAGACCATATCATTTATAATTTAAAAAATAACTTAGACCCCGAACTACCTTTAAAAGGAAACAGTAATTTCAAATGTGCATGATATACAGTGCAAAAATAGTCCCAATCAGTCCTGCGCAGCCTGTCAGCGTTGAAGATGCACTAGTTGCTCGTGTATTCGTAGTTGTGGCAACTGTTGTTGTGGTTGACAGTGTAGACTTTTGAATTGATGTTGTTGTGGTTGACGGTGTCAACTGTTGAATTGATGTTGATACAATGTTGGTCCAGAAAGTCTGAAAGTCCAGCACCACTGTGGCTCTATAAATAAAAATCAATATCAGATGAGATATTTTAATCAGGTAGATTGTTCCTTGTAAAACAACTTTTAGACATTGTATAAAAACTAAAATAATTGAGAATATGTTGTCTTCAGAAATATAAATAGACCAGAATAATGAGACACCAATAGATTTCGTTAAACGAAAAAATATATTCAAATTAGATTCAATCACTCTAATAAGTAAAATGCTACAATGTACTGTTTTTTTTACTTAGCCAATAACATATATGTTGCAAAGGAAAAGTTTATGAGAAAACCGGGTTAATTTACTCTTCTCCACAAGCACTTGTTACAGATTTTTTTTTCAAATTAAGAAATATAGGAATTTTTCTCTGAGACAAGTATCTGTGGTCTTCTCATAAAGATACGTACGTTATTCTGACGTCTCCAACCGGTTGTGATGGGGGTGTCCAGATCGCTCGTATATCTGTTTTACTGTCATTATTAGTATGGGTTATAGCAGCACCATTCTGTAAGTAAATTAAATATACATTAATCACACCTTGTTAACATATACATGGTGTTAGTTAAAACAAATGTATGCAAATAAAAATAAAATTAAGAATCGAAATGGGGAATGTGTCAAAAAGACAACAACTCGTCTAAAGAGCAGAACAAGCAAAAAGCCACCAAATGGGTCATTATTAATAAAAGGGACATTTATTTTAGCTACGAATTAGACTCGTAAAAATTGCTATGAAGTTTTTAGCTATAAGAAGATGTGGTATGAGTGCCAATGAGACAACTCTCCATCCAAGTCAAAATTTATAAAAGTAAACCCTTATAGGTAACAGTACGGTCTTCAACACGGATCCTTGGCTCACACCGAACAGTAAGCTATAAAGGGCCACAATAATTACTAGTGTAAAACCATTCAAACGGGAAAACCAACGGTCTAATCTATATAAAAAACGAGAAACGAGAAACACTTATGAACCACATCAACAAACGACAATTACTGAACATCAGATTCCTGACTTATTACGATCCTCGCGTATATTTTCAAACCCATTTTGTATGCACTTTGAAGTGTTCACATCAGTAGAATATGCTGGAATTATGTGACGTCACAAATTACACACTAAGAACCCATATCAGACCACCACCCGATTTTTCTATGATAGTAGAAAAGAATAAAAATAAAAAAGTTTTGAACGAGTTGAGTTTTGTTAATTTTCCAAATCGTCATCTCTTTCACTTTACACTTACCGGACTTCATAATATAGTTACCTATATAGTAGTTGAAATCTTCGTCGTTCGGTAGTAAATTATTCTTACTTATCCCTTTTCATGCATTTTTTATACAGTGACATGGTGACCTGTAGTTGAAAACGGCATACATCCTTGTGTTATAGTCTTTTGATGGATAGTTGTCTGAAAGCATTCATATTACATCTCTTCATTGAGTATTGATAGAATTATTTTATTTTTTTACAGTGACTTTAAAGGGTATTAGTGGCACGAAGTTTAAAGGTTTCTTGATACAGATGAGGATGGGAGACCTGCAGCAAATAGTATGAACTTTCACTGTCATAACAACTGCTGAAAGCCAACTCCTACAGTGCAACAATGTGGTAAGTTAATTCCTACAGTGTAACGATGTTGTAAGTAAACTTCCACAGTACAACCATATAAATTGAAACCATCTGGATATATTTGTTTGATTTTATCGACTATTCTATGACACTATATTGTTTATATTTGCGCGTTGCTTGTACATTTGTTTTTATTAAGTATTATACCGTTCTAAATAGTTTTACACGTGCTTTTTCTATACTGTTTTTATTGTATGTTCTTTTACGTTTTTTGTTTAAATATCAATCAGTAGACATCCAATGGATTTAGTGTAAAGACGTCATGAAAAATCATAGAAAAACACCATTTTGTGCACTGCTAAAATGTAATTATCGACAGACCGTACATTTTAATAAAAAAAAAAGAGAAAATGTGGTGTGATTGTCAATGATTAAGACAAATCTTCACAAGAGACCAAATGACACAGAAATTATCAACTATTGGTTACCGTACGGCCTTCAAAAATGAGCAAAGTCCATACCGCATAGTCAGCTATAAAATGCCCCGAAATGACAAATGTAAAACAATTCAAACGAGAAAACTAACGGCCTAATTTATGTACAAAAAGATGAACGCAAAACAAATATGTAACACAGCAACAAACGACAACCACTGAATTACAGGCTCGTGACTTGGGACAGGGACATACATACAAAATGTGGCTAGGTTAGCATGTTAGTGGGATCCCAACCATCCCCCTAACCTGGGACAGTGGTGTAACAGTACAACATAAGAACGAACTATAAAAATCAGTTGAAAAAAGCTTAACTCTGCAGATGGATACATATAGAAATACATCTAATAAAACACAGAGTGGACGTGGTCGGGTACTTGAACATCCAAACAACAAAAAGACGCAAATTACAGATCTGAGAGTACTCGCAGTTACTGACAGCTAGTTCAAAGCCAATAACAGCTAGTAAAAATAAATCATGCATCTAAGACTGAATTATCAATCAGTACACATCCATCATCCAATGGATTTAGTGTTAAGATGTCATAAACAGTCAGAGAAAAGAATGACCTTGTGCAATGCCAAGATTCAGGTATCGACAGATTGTAGATCCATGAATGTGCATATGTATATAACAACAATATTTAGTTTGCTTTTTAATTTACTGATAACAAAATCAGTATTAATACCAGTAAATAAACTCATCATAGATACCAGGATTGAAATTTTGTATAAACATTATTCAAAGATCTAATTACAGTGTTGAATTGGTAACATTTTAGAATAAGTTGATTTATAGGATTGATAAGTTTACCAGATCGTTTCTAAATTTCCGGGCACGGTAAACAACATCTCCATAAATATGAGGAAGTGCTATCCCGTTTGAATTAAGTTTTCTACGGGTACAACCAAACTTCAAAACCAAATATTTATATCTATGGAAGAATTTAGTAACGGTTTTAAGTAATTTGTGGTAACGAAATCCCTGACATAATAATTTACCAGTAATACATGATAGATTACATTCATTAAAGTAAAAAATATCACAACAGACACGGGCATAGCGAACGAGTTTGGAAATATAAACACCGTAAGATGGTGCCAAAGGAACATCACCATCCAAAAAAGGAAAATTAATAATAGGGAACGAAAAATCGTCCCTTTTGTCGTAAATTTTAGTGTGGAGTCCCCCGTGTAAAACTAAAATATCTAAATCTAGGAAAGAACAGTTATTATCGTTTACATTTGATTCATTTAAAGTAAGTTCCTTTGGTTAAATTTCGGCAGTATATTTAGTAAATTCCTGATTATTTTACGAAAAAATATCATCAAGATAACGGTAAGTGTAGACGGTTCTTTACAATGGAAGGGAATATCGGCCTTAATTATACATTTCTAAATTAGTAAAATGTAATTTATTAATTTGTAACATGCAATTTCTTTATATGTAAGATGCAATTTCTTAAATTGTAACATGTACTTTTTCCATCCGTTACATGAATTTCTACATTTCTTGATTTGTGAAATGTAACTTCTTAATTTGTATATGCAATTTTTTTATTTGTTAACGTATTTTCATCGTTTGTTATATGAATTTCTACTTTTCTTAATTTGTGAAATGTAATGGCCTGACCATTAAGTATAACCGAAGATTGGGCTCAAGCAGAAAAGACTATCAGGTGCTAATACTTTAATCAAGAACCAATCTTACAAATGGTAAAAATCTGAAAATACAAAATAAAATACAATTTTACAATGTGTTGAATTAATGTTATAATGTATGAATGTCAAATGTAGACAATAGCACAGATCATATAACGCGAAATAAAGATGCAGTTATAAAGGTGAAATTTCCAATATATCACGGATAAAGAGTTAAAATATGATGAACGATTTGAAGGCATCAAATACAAAGTTATAAATGTAACTCACTCTGTGGTTAGCCACGAACTGTGTCCAAGATGACGTTTGTCCTTAAATGTTCTCCAGTTCTGTGATGACCTTGCGATTCAGTTCGAGATACGTGTAAGAAAGGGAAAAGGTAACGATGATACGATGTTTTGAAGTTCTATACGGTTTAACGATGAATAATCCTCCTAGGTCAGGAACACATAAACAGATTAAAAATATAATCCAACGAACTATATAAATTGAGGAACGAGGTAAAAAGAATACTCCCCGTCTGATGTCTATCTGATATCACTATTCATAAATAAATCGCATATGAACATAAGATAAATAAATAAATCCCAACATAAATTGAATATGTACAAGAGTAATGTTCACTATTGGTCGTGAGAGAAATATCAGTTCTCAACTTACGACCGATGAGATCGTTGTGATCTGTAAAATGTTCCATTATTGATGTATCGATAATAGGAACTGTTTTCTCCAACGTTGTTAGACGGCGATGACGGTCTAAGATGTTCCTCTGGTAAGTCAGACGAGAGTTAGTACTTGGTCCTTTTCTGAGTTGGCGAAATGCCAAATATTTGTGAGTATCAGACGAAGTCAAGCGTTTCGTCATAACGTTCCATCCTACGGATCTAGTTGTTCTATCTGTGAAGTGGCGACCTCGATGAATTTTCTATAGAAGTCACAGATTTTGCTTTTGGTGACACGAGTGTTGTCCCTTTAGAGAAATTCACGAATTTACCAGACTTGGTACTAGATCCAGTACACTCAAGGAATTGTGTGGAATGCGTGTTTGCAACCTTCACATTCGAATTTAAAGTTTGGTAGTTTTCCTCACCAACGATTGGATTCTTGTCCTTGACGGATAATTCCGGTCTTGAGGCGTTGAGAAGTTGTTCTGGTTTCGTGATTGAAACGTTAGTTATCTTCGTGTTGACTTCAAGTGGAACAGTTTGCTTGTCAATATATGTATTTCCATTGATGACCAAACCAAGTTTCAACTTTTGGGCAAATGGAGATTTGGATGGTCCTAAGCGTTGTTCGAGGACGTGGTGTGCCTCTATTAGGTCTCTTCCAATTAAGAGAAGAATTTGGCAATGTTCCTCTATTGGTGGAATGCTTCTTTCGAGTTCTTTTAAATGAGGATGATGCATTGTGACTTCCGGAGTAGGTATTTCGTCCCTATTATTGGGAAGATTGTTACATTCCATTCAATTAATGTAGGCAGATCAAATTGCACGTCACCATGTACAGATTTTAAGACGAAATATCTTCCTCTTTTCCCGGGAGTAGCTACTCTGCCAGAGCATGTTGTTAGAGAGTAGTTTTCCGGTTTTTCCCGAAAGTGGAACATACTGAAGAATTCATGCGAAGCAAGAGACCGGTTGCTTTGGTCGTCAATGATGGCGTACATCCGGATAATTTTGTCTGTCCTGTCCTTGTGGTACACATCCACAGGTCATATCTTGGCACACGATTTCTCACTCTTAGGATCTTTGTCTGCTCCCCGTCGTAGATTGTGCAAGA